AAATATAGGAGTGTAGTGTGATTAGGGCTTATTTTATAACCGTGATGTTTCAGACGTTAATCATCGAAAAAAAGTATCTCATTAAAGTCTCGGTTCCTCCGGAGTTTGACGAACGTTTTAGTTGCAATAATACACGAAAACAGTTATACCATTGAATTTGCTCCTTGACTGGAAGAATAAACTCCTAAAACGGTCTGACATTTCATATGGTCGACTTGAACTTCGAGTATTAGCGGACAGTGTTTACGACGCTACCGTTTCCGTTGTTTACTGTCTCTGTGTTAGTCTCTCACACGCGATGTCCCAAACCATTGCTTTGGAAAAACGATACATAGAAATGTCCATCACTCGGTACCGTGTCATCACTATCATCCTCAGTGAGACTATCTTTATCGATCGATAACTCACCAGTGGTGTGCGCAATGCAGACGTGAAAATCCAGGATGAATCGAACGTGGATCATCACTTAATAGGTCTGTGGGTGCACTTTTGTCCCGAAATGAGGACAAGACAATTTTTGCGCGCATGGAAGACTACGAAAGGCACGACGAAAACAATAGGCCTGTGTAAGATTAAACCAGTGGATTTTTTTCACTTTTCGGAATAAACCAGAACAAACTCTGGCTGGAGCTGCCATCACTGTGACAATGTTGAATCAGTGAAGGGAATACAATAAGCTATGCACTGTATACGTGTCTTCCGCATAAAAGCTCAGAATGAAGGGCGTAATCAATTGGGTTTGTTTGTGTCGCTTGAATGATGTAAGCCCTTTTTATTGGAATTAATACGAGCTTCCATGCCTCTTCGCCCTTGTTGAACGCCGTATCACGGTAACGGTTAATCTGACCCATTCAGCCAGGATAAAGATAAAAATAGGTTGATAACCTCGGTTCAATACTGCAGGACGGAAGACAGTTTACCCATTGTTAAATTGAGGTTTATTCCCGCTGTGTCAATTTCGGTAGTAGTGGTTTGCAAATTCCATTGCTCTGTCAGAATTCATCTGGTCTGTTAGAGCGGGTGATACGCGTTGTGCACTTTACGTATGCGGTTATTTCATCGATATTTTCAAGATTGTCGACAACGGGTTCCTCTTTCTATGTGGAACCAAATTGATTTTTATTTGGTCTAATATCGCTTTAGCGGTTCTGGAGGAAGAATCGTTCCGTAAGTCGTAGGAGAATGGTGGAACTGCAGACAAAAAGCGTGCTTCACCGAGACCATGGATCTTTCTGTTTTCTGCAGCACCACTGTATTCAGTCTCTTCGCAATTTTCTCCAACGGTATGCGAACATTTCTTTCCAACAACACCACTTTGATGTTGGTGCTTCTACGTAGGTGGTTGATGTTGTCAAAGGGCAACAATTAGCCCTTGGGTACATCTATGGCCCACAGGAATGGGGTCTCCATCCGTATTCGAATCGTCACCAATTCACAGACGTGGACGTCAGTAATCCCGGGTATCTAATAAATCAATTTATTCTCGAGCCTGAGCTGTCCAGATGAAACTTGGTAAACCATGAGACACGTGATGATAGAAACAGTAAAAAATCTCATCTGACTGGGTGACTTCTGGCACGTTTTTGAAAAAAAGGACGGGAAATAATCCGTGTCCCAACAATCACAGGGCCATGGAACACGTTTATCTTTTGTAAGGTTTGATATTGATGTGTTCGTTTTAGTTGGAACGTTTCTTTGTTCCATGAACTGTATCACATCTAGTTCATTGAACTTTTCTAGATTAAATTCCTCAATTATTGTGTTCACAAAATCGAAAAACAAAATGGGAATTGAGGACAATTGGGACAACTACTACTGGTATACTGTGATTTTTTTTGTGCATAGAGCAAATTAAACGCGAACTGAAATGTGTGCTTGGAAGCAAGCATTACCACATTTGTTTCCGTCTTGTGGAGTGTATTACGCAACTAGAATTCATCGAACCTGACAGATAGAATGCAAACATCACCGACTTTGCAACAGGGCAAGTTTTCAGTTTGCACTCCCTTTTTCTGCACACGATGAAATCCAATATATACTGCGCAATAACCGTATTCATGCGTAAAAGCACTCCATGGCCCAGGAATTAAGATCATACTTTATTGGGGAGTGGAATGGTATCCAAGCGGACATGATTCTAAACCTTATTGAGAGTATACGGAGAAGTGTAGAAGTTTTGAGACAGAATGACCAATGCACCCAATAATAAACTGAATTCAATGAGCAAGTCGTATGTGGGGTCAAATAATTCTGTCGCGCTGATGATTCTGCTCCCTTTGTTATATCTTTGGTGAAAACTCGTATTTCGGATTTTCATTTGTTTGCCTGCCTAGATGCTCGTGTATATGTGTGAATAGAGATAATCTAAAATCTAGAGGGCGATGCAGTAATTTTGTTGCGGGGATTATAGTCGAATGAACTCGACAATTCACATGTCAGTACGGATGAAGATAATGCCGAATAACGGATGAGAACTTAACCACCCGTTTAAGCTACGGGTTAATGAATCGTGATCAAGGTTTAGTAATGTTCACAGAGATGTCACAGGTATTCGTGGAACTAATTTCTTCCTCACAACCTGATGAAAAATGCTCGTTTTCTTGCAGAAATTAAAATAATCTCAATTTTTTTATTACACACATTTGTGTGGCGAACAGCAGACGGGACGAACCCCACAGTTACGAAGCCTGTTACTCCGTCATGCAAACCGGTAACCTAAGCCCCGGGACTTGGAGTGGCGAACCACAAGGCCCCGATAAGTTAGGGGTGGTATGGGACCGGAAGACAACAAAGCTGTCTACTTCCGTGAGTGCAATCAATATGTAAATCAGATAAGGAAACGCACCACGGAGAAAAAGCTAATAAAGTCAATCTCCTGCTATGTTGCACCCCTCGGGAATTAGAAAAAGTGGGTAAATTCCAGGACATAGTATGTTTGTCAGTAGTACATGCTATTAAGTAGTATGATAAATCCATTGAGTCTTGTGAACAAATATACCGGATCGATGAAAAGTAGATTAATCCCGTTAGTTGTTCCCAGTGTTCATAATTACAAATTGTTCATTTATAACGGAATTTAGATCTACCGTCGTACGTATCCTTTATGCATCGAAGAAATTTAAATGTTTTATGACGCCCTCAACTAATATGGGTATACTGCACGCGGTATTCATCCCTTTTTCTGTTGGAAGTGCCTAGTATCCCTTAACTCCTTACCTTTCTTCAGGGGAATTTTTTCTAACAATTATCCCATAATAATTCCAGGTTTTCCTTCATTCCTTTGCAAGAACAGAATCGAGTCTATGACGTTCACCCTAATGTGCAACTGTTTTAGCCATCATGATCAAATAATTGTTAACTCATTTAAGGAAAACAAAAGTGAACCAATTCGAAGAAGGAAATAACATCATCTAAAATGAGTGAAATATCTGTTGCGGGGTATACTCAGAACACTGATTTCTTTCCCATATTCAAACTGATTGTTCGCTGTGCAATCTCTTCATGATTTTATAGTAAAACTTTCTACCATTAGTGTTAGCAGACATCTATTCATACGTTCTCTGTTGTTGTTACCAGTTTATTCATGCCGATTTAAACATTAGTCATGACCGGTGTTGGTCGGATTAAGTACAACACGTAATGCCATAACGTGACTCATATAGAAGTGCATCTCACCCTAAATTCGGGTTACGATGACCTTGGGCCAGTGACCGAATTTCCTCGCTGCTTTAGCAAGGACGAGTGTGAATGTCGTTCATTCATTCACATAGGCGCGTCCGCGCAACGGCGGGTGTCAATCGTTCGGATTTCACATCACACTCTACGTTGTGTAATGCTCTTGTTGTTACGTCCAATCCATCCATGTGCTAATGGCACCCCAAGACACCTTGTTGGATCAAAATTGCTTCATAGTCCCAATGTGTTAGTATGGGCTGGTATTGTGCACGATAAGACTGTGGGGCAGTACTTTTTCAACGGAAACGTAACAGGTAAGAACAATTTTGCTTATTAAACTGTTTAAGGCGCTTCATACTTGTGAATGTCACAAGACAATGTGATATCTGCCATCCAGCGTATAGAAACTGAAATTGGTACTAAAGTTTGGTTCCAACATGGCAGTGCACCGCCACACAATGCTCTGAGGTGAGAAGGCGTGGGCCTATATTAGGGGATATCGTTGTCCGTTATTGCGACAAGTTCAATATTTTATTGTGATTATCTGGTTACCGAACCCGCTTCGAAAAATAGTGCCTGTATCTTAGACGAGTCAAGCGTTGGCCCAGTGTCATCATCGCTTGAGCATTTTCCATTCCGAATTTCCCACATGACGCACTGCTCCACAACTGATTCCCTACCGACACTAAGGCAGCATCGGATTCGGAACCTATCCTCCCCCTGTGCCGGCCCAAAAATCACTCGACTGATCGGGTTCATTTATCGATCGGTCTAATGGCTCACCCGCAACAAGGGACCTTTGCTTGCCCAGGCTAACCCGAGCGAGAAACCACACCTTGTTTACAGCCGTGAGTCTCAGACAGGCCCAGTGAACTTCGACTGTGCAGCAGAGGTGCCATCAGCACATGAATAGACTGGACGTAACAACAAGAGCATTACGAAACGCACAAGGCGGTAATCAGACAGTCTCGTTTTGGAGTGACCGATTTCAAGCGCCGCAGATCGCGGAACATGATCCAATCAGATCACCGAAAGTGTCAGAGGAAATTTACTTGTTTAATGTCACGGGTGAGAGGGAGAAGACGATGGTAAACAATGGAGCAATCGTACTGTACATGCCCGCTTAATAGTCAATCGCGATTATCGTTAACTCGTTCGCACGCTCGTGCGACAGTGTCCGTCGACAGACCGAATGACCGTGGCATTGGTGACCACTGTTTTTTTTTTCAGTTTTGACAACCATAACCCATGCACCTTCGTGCGCCGGTTCTGTTTGCTGTCTTTTGCCTGCCCTTAAAATAAATGAACATATTCGAGTGCCGCATCTAATGACGGATAAATGAGACTTGATACAATAATTTCAAATAACCCACATCTTCATCAAATTCCAAACGGGATACTTCTTCAAAAAGACGTTTATCAATAGACACATGATGTGTAAATTCCTCAATCAGGTCGCATTTATACTCTGGTGGCTGCATCACCGACTGAATCAATGTGGATTTGAACCCAACATTCATCAAAGCCTTGATTAGTTCGTGTGGATGCACGAACACCCTAGCTTTCTTGACCAGATGCTTGACTAAGAGAATTTTCACCTCGACTTTCACTATAAGTGACTCACCTACGATGAAAGACAAAACATATTCCAGTGAATGCTTCCCAACCGAACATTTGGAAGACCAAATCACACCCTGATCCATTGGTTGTAACATTGAAGAACCGCTCGGTAGCATTCGTACTAATTTGACATTGGAGAATACTGCGGCTTAATTATGGCAAGGGGTGTTATCCATAAATAGTAAAATAGAGCGTCTTTGAGAAACGATTCTTGGTCGACATCGGACAGCAAACATTGAAATTACGCAAAAGTCATTCATGCGTTCTTAGAAGAATTATAACTACCTGGAAGGGTTTTTCTATCTATACCTCGGAGGCATCGTGGAGTTTGAAACTTTCCAATCACCAATGGTGTTAACCTTTCTCCAGTTATGCTCCCACAAAGCAGCAACGTGATTCTGGATTTCTTGGATCCAAAAGCCCTTTATCTTTGAGACTTAATATTCTTTCCAGGAGGTGCTTGAATTGAAATTATTACGGTCAGCGTATCCATATATCAACTGCGATAACCCCGCTCGAAACTCGTCAGGTGGTACGGACAAACGTTCACCTTAAACCCAGAAAGTAATGTACATGAGTATTTGCTTGTCTCTAACTTTGTACGATTGTATACCATGTCTGTCTGACCAACAGCGAAACCAACCTTTGGAAGCCCTGAAGTCATTATGATGCAATCTTTGTGCTAGCTGGATTGCCTTCTTACGTACGATGCTGTCCACCATTGGAAACTCACCGTGCTTTTCCCTCATAGCAGTAAACCAAGCCTAAGTTGCCTCATTCACTGTCTTGAACATTTTTTAGGTTTCAGGTGGCATCTTTCTTCAGATGCTTCAGCGTTCAAAAACCCCCCTAAAATCGTTCGATGGGATACAACGTTGTAGACAGTTTTTCTTCAACCTCCAAAAGATTCGGCAAGGGAGCTCTGAGCTGCACCTGGCCGTTTCATCATTTCGAACATTCTGCTTCTTTCTGATCGATAGGCGCTGGCATAGTTTGACATCAAATAACACTGTCTCCGATCACTTACATCGGTGTGACTTCCTCGCAAGGATTATCCAATCAGTAAACAGTGCCATGAACGCATCACACTAGGTGCAACGCCATTGGCTGAGTGCGACATTTCAGGGTGGATGGTCAATGGTCGTCCCGAATATCGGTCAACGACTAAGTGAGTACGTATCAGGAACTGCGACATCGCATAGTCAGTAACTACGTTATTAAGCATATGGTTGGTTTGGGTTTTCGAAAAAGTAGGAAGATATGGGAAAATGCGATATAGCAACATAGCAAGAGATTGACTGTATTAATCTTTTCTGCCTTGGGAGATGGCAACGTCTCCCCCAATTTGAGTAGAGGAATATTGCATAGGCATAATGTTTATATTTGAAATAACTAGTCTTAGAGGGTAGTGTTAATTTCACTTTCATGCAGCTATGAGTTGTGCACCCTCTACTTCCATTGATTGGTCTTTTCCGATGGGCTGGATCATTTATTTTTGCATCAATTTACACGGTCTGTTGTCAAAAAGACCATAAAGCGGTGGCATTTCCCGCTTATCTTGACACTTTTCTGTCTCACATTTTGGCTACCATGTTGTTGCGTGAATATACGTTTGACGTGTATCTTTCTGTTCTCCGTCCAGCTATTGAGTCCAGTACGTTTAGCTTGTTTCTGACTAGGATAATAACGGGCCCAACTTTCCATTATATGTCCGAATGTTATCCACACAAAGTGTATTAGTGTTATGTTGAAAATCAAAATTTTATTGTGGGTATTACTTACAAGCTCAAGCTACTCTGTGGTGTTCGTGTAACGAGTACGCACTAACGACGGTACAGCTTCCAGGTAACCAATCAGAAAACGGATTACTCGACCAATCCTATGGTCTCAACTGGCATGAATGTGTTATTGATAATGTTGTATGTTCGTTCTAGTTCCGACTTCTTCAAGATGACGAATGTGCCATCAACGTATCGAAGCCAAACACATTCAATGGCATCAAGTTCACAATGGAGACCAAGAAGGATGAACAACTGGCATTTTTGGACATCTTGATCATCAGAACGCCATCAGGAAAACTGGAGACAACGGTCTACCGCAAGACAACACATACAGATCAAATCCTAAACTTCAAAAGTAATCAAAAGATGCTGCGTTGAAACCCTGTTCGGAAGAATCCAAGCGCACTGCAGCACCGACATA